AATAAATACCTGGATGCAGTGGTAGGTGCCTAGCATTCCTAGCAACACGCAGGGAAGATCAAAGTCCAAGCACTCAGGGTACCTAAGTCTGCTATTTTTATGTTTATACAGTCTAGTTAGAAAAGGGAAGAGGTGTAAAACAAGAGTTCAGTCAGCCCTGAGTTATCCCCGAGGCATGGTAGGTGCCGTGTTGAAGGCCCACAATACTTTCAGGAGTCCATAAAATATGTTTTTATCTTAATTGTTTTTTTAATATTGGAAGTCAACAACAACAATAATAATAAATGATCCCATCCTGGATTCTGTTCATCTTTTTGCCAAAGTAGTTATAAAATTCAGTATTCTTTCTCTCTCTGTCTCTGCCTCTGTCTCTCGGAATGTGTGTGTGATAGCAATGGGGCTTGAACTAGTGTCTCAAACTCTTCCCTGCTTTTTTGCTCAAGGAAGAGCTCTACCACTTGAGCCATATCTCTACTTTCAGCTTTTTGCCAATTAATTTGAAATAAGTCTGTTGGATGTATCTGCTGTGGCCGTCTTTGAATTTCTATCCTCAGATCCTACCCTCCTAAGTGGCTAGAATTATAAGTATGAGCTACCAGTGTCTATCATGAATGTGTGTGTGTGTGTGTGTGTGTGTGTGTGTGTGTGTGTGTGTTTGGTTGTGGGGCTTGAACTCTGGGCCTGGGCGCTGTCCCTCAGCTCTTCAGCTCAAGGCTAGTGCTCTACCACTTGAGCCACCGTGCCACTTTGGGTTTTCTGGTGGTTAATTGAAGATAAGAGTCTCACGGACATTCCTGCCTGGGCTGGTTTTGAACCGCAATCCTCAGATCTCAGCCTCCTGAATAGCTAGGATTACAGGTGTGAACCACCAGCACCAGGCTAAAATCACATTTTCAATGTTTCTTCCCTCCTCCTCCTCCTCCTCCTCCTCCTCCTCCTCCTCCTCCTCCTCCTCCTCCTCCTCCTCCTCCTCCTCCTCCTCCTCCTCCTCCTCCTCCTCCTCCTCCTCCTCCTCCTCCTCCTCCTCCTCCTCCTCCTCCTCCTCCTCCTCCTCCTCCTCCTCCTCCATCTTCTGGCAGCATTTAGGTTTGAACTCAGAGCCTCCCACTTGCCAGGCAGGGTTCTATTACCGAACCACATTGCTGCCCTTTAATGTCTATTTTTTAAATAGAAGAGGCCCAGATATGCAGAAATACCTAATCTAGAAGAATCGTAATGCAGTCTTGGCTCAATGTTGAGAGGAGTCTCTAGATCCAGTGAGAAAGAGCTAAGTGATCTTTTGGTATCTGCCAAGGTTTGGTTTTCTGCCCTTTCCCCATCCAAAAACCTGAAATCTAAGGACTTCAGTCCATTATATAAAGTGGCTTAGTATCTGTGTATAACCTACATCCATTCATACATCTTCCCATGTAACTTTATGCTATAAAGTAATTGTTACACTTTATTGGTTGGAATGATGTGTGTGTGTGTGTGTGTGTGTGTGTGTGTGTGTGTGTGTGTGTGTGTGTGTGTTCTGTACAGATGCAAATCTAACTTCTAAGATTTTCAAGTCCTGGTTGGCGGGACTCACAGCTGTGACAAAGGACTGACTGTACTTTCTGTGTCTGTGGGAGACATGAGGAGCAAAACATCACCTAGATTTCTTCATCTTTGATCTGGGGAGATGAGTGTAGGAATGTTTTGGGGCTTAAATCTCATCTCCACAATACAATTCATTCACCTTTCTGAGCCTGCTTCCTAAGGCTGCAAAACAGAGTTCCAGGGGCCTTGAAGAAGTCTGGAAGAATGAAAGCCAGGGAGGACTAGATACTGTTCCAATGAGCTTTATTACATAGTAACTCTTTTATTTGAGCCTCCTCCTTCACCCCCCCCCCCCCCCCCCCCCCCCCCCCGCCTCCCCACGGAATAGGCAATATTCCTATTGCTCCTATGATGGGTGCTCTGAGCAATGGAAAGGAACTTGGATAGAAATTTCATCCAGAGACATCAGAAGTACAAACCAGGATTCCCCCAGCCTTCACTTTCCCTGTCCTAATTTAAGGATCTGAAGCCCACGGTCTGCCTGCACCCTCTGGTGGCGCGAGGTGGCTCTGTCTCGACGCATCCACAGTCCGCAGAGGACCAAGCAGGGACATTTCTGGGACTTGGGAAGTGAAAGCCACGTGAGTCCGGAGGGAGGAAGGCCGCCGGGGAGGGGGGAGGCGGGGGGGGGGGGGGGGTGTTAGGGGGCGGGGCGGCCCGGAGACCTAGCTAGCGCGGGGCGTGGCTTTGGTAGGGGCGGGGCCAAGCCTGAGGGCCAAGACGTGGCGCAGCGGCCGGGTGGTTTCTCCTGCAGCCTGCGGATCCACTCACTGCCGGCCAGGTACCAATGAACCTCCTGCTGCTGCTGCCGCCGCCTCTGCTACTGCTTCTCGCGGCTCTTGTGGCTCCAGCCACTGCCGCCACCAGCTACCGGCCGGACTGGAATCGCCTTCAAGGCCTGGCCCGGGCCCGGGTGGAGGTGAGTTCGCCAGCCCCCAGCTCCCAACACCCGGGGCCCACAACCCTGCAATATCATATTCTTGGGATCATGGCTCGTTCTGGCCCCAGAAACACTCAGACCTCCCAGTCTCCCCTCTCTTTTCTTCCATGGTTCTGAGACCCTCCATTTCCCTCTCCAGCCTTAGGATGCTTAGTCTCCACAGAGGAAGGCTGAGACTGTGGATCTTGTGGCCCTGCATTCTGAACCCTTGTTCTGCTTCTAATCTGGTCTGACTGCAGGCCCTTGGACACAATCTGGCCTCACAGTGGACCCTTGACACATTGGACCCAATACCCTCTTTACCAGGCGTTGACTCTCTCAAACTTGCCCATCAGAACCCAACTTCATCCCCAACCCCATCACTCCAAATCCTCCCCCCCCCTCCCTCCGGGATTCCTACCCTGGCCCAGTTTCTGGGCCTGGAGCTCTATGGAGTCTTTCTCCCTTCTTCTGAAAGAGAGTCTTTCTGGGTGCCTCCTCCACTATGCAGGAGCTTGGGAAATGGGCGGGGGGCACTGAGAACTTGATTACCAATAATTCATTTCACAGCTGCCCCCAGGAAATTCCCCTCGCAGTCCACCGTAGCCTCTCTCTGGGCCCCTTCCTTTTCTGACAAAAGATGATAGGATAAGGTAGGTATGGAATGGGTAGTCCTGGGGTCCTGACTCCTGTTAGGAAGTGGACTCCCCTGAAGGAGTCCTCCCATCCTCCCAAGTCAGGGAAGCAACCAGATGGTCTGTGGGGCCAAGCTGCAGGTGGCTGGCAGAGCTAGTCTAGGGTAGGGTAGGGACCAGATGGCAGGTGCTCCTAATGGGAGCTGCCTAGGCAGTTCTGAGCTATTTCCTTCAAGTCTGCCTATCCTCTGAGGTTTCTGAGACCAAAGGTCAGGACTAGAGAGGCCTGAGAGGCTCAGGGTCATTATATTTGTCTCTTGGGTACTGAGTGGCAAGAATAAATAGGGTGTGTAGGCAAGTGCCCCAGGGCTGGCAAGCCCCCTATGGGTCTCTGGCTTTACTCCCATTTTCCCTGGTGTCTCTAGGCCTGAGCTCCTGTGCAACAGAGCTCCTGTGCACAAGGGTCCACTGTCTCTTTCTCACCTTGGCAATTGCTCTTTACGGTCTTGGGTGGGGAGTGCTGGGCTGCAGATGTGTATGGGCCTCCTGACATGCCTCTTTTTTTTTTTTTGTCACCAGACCTGTGGAGGATGACAGCTGAATCGCCTAAAGGAGGTGAGTTTGAAGGACGAGGTCCCCGCTTCTGTGACCCTGAGCCTCTTGTGGAGTGGGCAATGTGGTCTCAATGACGGGGGCAGAATTCATGGAGTCAGGAGCCTCGGCCTGACTTGCTGTAAGACCTCGCAGGGTTTATTTTCCAAATGGGAAGGGGTTAGGGGTCATGATCTTTGTTCCTCTGTTCCCTCAGGTGAAGGCCTTCGTCACCCAGGACATTCCACTCTAGTATCCTTTTGTTTGGGGGAAGAAGGGAAGAAGGAGGGCACCAGGGAGAAACTCCTTTGAAGATAGAGATGGCAGGGGTTTTCCTCTGGCAAATGGAATTGACTGACATTGACTGTCCAGAGGATTCTGAGATGGTGTCCAAACTGGATAAGCAAGAGAGGCTGACTGATGGAGAGCAGGGCCCTTTATAGCTCTAAATCCTAAATCTTCTCCCTGTAAATGGCGATCTTGGCCCCAGTGTGCGCGCAGAAGAGGCAGTTTCGGTTCACATCACCAAACCAACTCCTTCTGCCCACTCCCACCCGCCTTAACAACCCCTCCAGCCACAACCTGGTGATGAAACACCTCCCTGGGGCAGACCCTGAGCTCGTGCTGTTGGATCGACGCTTCGCGGAGCTGGAGGTGAGGCCTGGAGAGGCGGGCGGGGGCGGGGCCGTGGGCGTGGCCTGGGCGCTGACCCCGCCCCTTCCCCTACCCCAGCGCATCCCACTTAGCGAAATGACCCGCGAGGAGATCAACGCGCTGGTGCAGGAGCTCGGCTTCTACCGCAAGTCGTCGCCGGACGCGCAGGTGCCCCCCGAGTACGTGTGGGCGCCGGCTAAGGCCCCCCAGGAGGCTTCGGACCGCGCCGACCTGTAGTGGAGTCCCGAGCCACGGCGAGCTAGGACCACCCTGCCTGAGCCCCGGAGACAGAATGAAGCGCTCAGCACCCCGGGAGCAGCTCCTTCGCTGAGGGCCGACGCTGGGTCCCCGAGCCGGGCAGGAACGGGGTTGGGGACATTCCTCCCGCTTCCCGTCTCTCCGCGCCACACCCCCCCCCCCCCCCCGCCCCGGTCCAGCTCCATTAAAACGCTCCCGCCTTTCCTGAGATTCTTCTTCGCTTTCCTTTTCCGGGCGGGGATGAGAAATCGAGCACAGGCAAGACCATCCGGAGACCCGGCATAGCTTTACCAGCCCGGGCACGCGAGCTGGGGGACCCCCCCCCCCTCCTCGAGACAGAGGCAGAGAGAGTGGAGTCCGGATCGTTGAAAATCAATAATTTATCAAAACGCGGCGTGTGTTTGCAGGGAAGGCAGTCGCGGCCGACGAGACGGCGGTGCGCAGGCGCGCGGAGAGCGGGCAGTGCGGGAAGGGCGGGGCGGCGGCGGCGGCGGGAGGGAGGCGCTAGACGTTCTTGCCGCGCATGCGCAGCTCGTGGCGCCGCAGGTGATTGTAGAGGGACTGCACGTAGGTGAAGACGCACTTGGGGTCCGGCTTCTTGCCCATGATCATCATGTCGTCCACCTCCACCAGGGGTACACAGTCCACCAGCATCCTGCGGGAAGCGGGGAGCAGGGGGCGTTGTCAGCGCAGCCAGCCTTCTGCACCCCTCGACCCCGAAAGTACGGCAGCCAGCTGTTCTTACATTCCAGTCTTCATCAATGAAGCGTTGGAGGAAGGCGGCAAGCCCCGACCCCACCAGCCCAAGCCCAAAGGCAACCATGCTGGTAGGAGAAGCTAGGCCGGTGAGGTGGGGGAAAAGGCGGTGTTCCACCCGTGTCAGGCAAGAGTCAGCCCTCCAGTCCTGGCTACAGACCTAGCCCACGTTCCCTCTGGAAGAAGGCTTCCTGCTCACGCTCATGGCGCACTCCAGTTGACAGAGGCCTGTCAGCTGGGCTAGTACAACCCGGGGGCATTCACTGTTGGCAAATCTTCCTCCATGGCCAGCACCAAGACTCGCTCCCATGATCCTCTGGGCCCCTGATGATTATCTACCAACTGTATGACCTGGTGCTTTCTGCCAAGAGGTGGTAGAGCCCTTCTCCTTCCCTTAGGGACAGCCCTGCTGCTGGAAATTGAGGCCGTGCGTGCATGCGTGCGTGTGCGTGTGTGTGAAGTGGATCTTTAACCCTTGTCACCTGCTTTCACTAGACTGAGGGCCCCTACCAGTACCCAACTGGACCATCTATACTCGGGGTGATGGCCTATCTGATCATCCTTAAGAGTGCCAGCTATACTTTACACATAGGGAAACTGAGTCAGAGGAGAGAGCTGTTCTGCTTCAAGCCTCGTCAATTGATGCAGGGCTGGCCCTGATGGGACACAGGCCCCAGCCCTAGATGCTGTATGTCTCAAGACCCCTTGTCCTTAGATGGAGTAGGTTGGGGCTTATAGACAATCCAGAACTCTAAAAGCAGAGTGGGCTCTCTGGCTCTATTTCCTGTTCTCTCATAGACTTTTTTTTCTCCTCACTTCTGTTTTTGGATAAGGTCACACTCTGTAGTCCAGGCTGACCTCAAATCTAGTATCTGTCTGCCTCCAGATTTTACCTCCAGGTCTTACATCACCATACTGCCAATAAGACCTCTTCCCCTTTATTCCCTGTGCTCTTCTGCCCACCACACCTGGCACACAGCAAGCAGCCTGTCATTGCTGCTGACTGAGTTTGCTTCGGCAGGAAAGGCAAGGGCAAGGAAGACTCCCATTTCCAAGATGTGGAAGAGCCTCAGACCTTCACAACCAAACCTAGCACTGTGGTGGGGCTGGGTTCTTCTCTTAGCTTCACTGGATTCTTTCAAGGAAGAAACCTGGGAGGCGGAGAACCTCTGTGTTTTTTTTTTTTCCTTCTTCAAGTTCTAACTCTGACCTTCCCTTCTGTGGTTGTTGGATAACAATGTGCTCTGTTCTGGGACTCTTTCCACCTTTTTATAAACAATATAGTCATTCCCTACCTTATCTGAAACCTTGAAAACACTTCACATGAGTGACAAGTACCTGGCTCTGCTGCTGCTGTGCCTGCCCTTAGGGTCATCCCTGCCCCACCACTGGGCTTGTTTCTCCAGCTGTATCATGGTACCAAGGCAGCCTCTTTCTGAAGTGTCTTCCAGCGGTGGCTATCTTCCCAGGGATCCCAAGGCCTCCCTCCCCCAACCTGGAGCTCCCTCCCACCCCTGGTGCCTTCCCTGGAGACCTTATAAAGCCATTGTTTACACTGGGGCAGCATGGCTCAGGGCTCAGGCTGCCCCAGTGACAGGCCAAACACTAGGCAACTGCAGCAACAGTACAACAGTACAGCTGAGTCACACTTTCCAAGTAGATTGGGGTTCACAATAGGTCTTTTCCCCCTCTAGGTTACTGGGCAGCGACTCTTCAGTCCATATATGACCTAGACACGGTACCAAGTGCATCTTCCCTTACCTGCACCTCTGACTATGGGTGCATGCGTGGGCTGTTCCCACAATGACCCATGCCTGTGGAAAGGCATCTGAGGGCACCCTAGTTGGCTTTGCTCCCGACTCATTACTTTGGGCAAGCCCTTTACTCCCTTATGGATCTCTATTTTTTTTTTTTCTGTCTAGAAAATTGTTGGGGAAACTCTTGGGATGAGAAAAAGAGTCACTGAATGAAGATATCTGGAATCTCAGTTTGGGGCCCTGGATCTGATCTGGAACCCTCCACCCCTGGGGATCCTCTTGAGCCTACCTCTCCCCTTCTCTGAATTTGTCTGGAATTCTCTACTGGGATACAGAAGGAAGCTGTAGCTGACTTGGGAAAATCCATAATCCTTAGCCAGAAACTTTTTCTTGTCAAACTGGCCGTTGTTCCCAAGTGCCTCACCTTGGGGGGTAAGACACCACCAAATCTCCAGAACCCCATATTACCAGCTTGAGCAGCTTCTTGGTCCCCCCCCCCACCTTTCCCTTCCCAAACAGACCTATCAGGAATCCTGACCCCTCTACTTCTGATGCTACTCTAGCCATCTAGTTCTTCTCAGGCTTCTCTTCATCCAAGGATTGTTCTAGAATGCTAAGCTGAAGCCAGCCAGCCAGCCACCCTGTTGGGAAAGCTTTCAGGATTTGTGCTGTCCTCAGGAGGAAGTTTAATGCTGTAACTGTGGCCCCTTCCTCCAACCTCATACCCAGGCTCCACTTCCTTTCCTACTGCCGTGTTCTGTCTAGCAGTTGAGCCTGCAGCCTGTGGGGGTCACGTGGGCACAGGGGATTGGGTACCCTTTGGGCTCCCGATCTTCCCCATCATAATCCTCCTCACCTAGCTCATTATCAATGATCCTTGCTAAAACCAAATGGTTTTACCTGCTGAGCCCTGAAGTACCAGAAAACAGGGTCCTGTCTGCCTCCTCTGGCTTTTACAAGGGTCTCCCTGCACCCCCCCCCCCCACTTCCCAGCCCCTTCTCTATGCCCCTGATGAGCAGACTCCAGTGCAACAGGGCAGGTGGGAGAGGTGGCGTTTCTCACCGTGGGGCCCCCAGCAGGGGTTAGGACTTTTTGGTTTTTACCAGTCCCTTCTGGACCAGACAGCGGTAGAACTCCTGGATGTACGTGTACACGCACTTCCAGTCAGGCTCTCGAAGCCGCACCATGTCCTCTGTATCCAGGAGCTGCGGGCAGTCCGCATGGGTCCTGGGGAGGGTAGGGGGCCAGGAAGGGGAGGCAGGGGAGGACAGGGCCCAGTGGGAGGAAGATAGGGGAGGAGGGGAGGGAAAGGCCAAGAAGAGAAAAGGGAGGAGAACAGAGACACACATACACACACACACACACAGAGACAAGAGTTCAGTTACGTTCTCAGTGCCGCAGTCTGCCAGCCCCCCGCATGCCCCTTCCCAACACAGTGGACGTGCTTGCTCACTACCCATCACTAACGGTGCGCGATGCAGACAGGGGTGGGGACAAACCAGTCACAGGTGCAAAGAATTCTTGGGACAAGCGGGAATGAGGAGGGTAGGGAAGGATGATACTGGCGTTGAGGTTGGAAAGGGCTGTGCCCCAGGGAAGGGGGGGGGGTGAGGGAGGCGTGAGAGGAAGTGGGGGAGGAGGAAAAAATCTGGAAGGAACCAGAACGAGAATGGGGGAGAGAAATTAAAGAGATGGAGGAGGGTGCTAGGGTGAGGTGAGCAGAAGGGGTAACGATTCCAAAGTGGAGGGCTTGCTATGTCCTATATAAGCTCTGGCAGCATCTATATAGGCTGAGCGGGCACGGTGCCCAGGGTCAGGAGCCTCCTTTTGGAATCTCCCGCCGGGATCCCGTGGGAGCAGGAAGCTCTTGTGAGAGTTGGAGGAGAGCAGGACAGAGGAAGGGAGAAAGGAAGGAGAAGGAGCAGAAAGAGGGGAGGGGAGATGGGCAGGGCCACCTGATAGGCTTTGGCCTGGGCTGGTAGGTTGGCCTGCCGCTCCTTCCTTCCGGCGGGCACTGGGCACACTCAGCAGCAGGTGGGCGGGGAAGGACAGGGGCTCTCTGGGGAAGGGGGCCTCAGCTGCAGACCCAGAGTACAGCTGGTCCCTTCCAGGAAGGGGGAAGGTCTTGGGGCAGCCGAGCCCAGGCGACAGCAGCTGGGCTGTGGGCCCCCACTTACTCAGCGGATGAGAAGGCCACCTCAAAGTTGTGGCGCCGGTTCTGTGGGCTCAGTTGGCCATAGTCAAAGGCCTCAGGGAAGAAGTTGTGTACCAGGGCACAGAAGGCCATCCCATCACTCCAGCTGGAGGAGAAGTTCTGGATGTCCACATGCTACAGGTGGTAGGAGGACAGGTCAGGACTTCCCCCACGGTGGGGTGTGTGTGTGTGTGTGTGTGTGTGTGTGTGTGTGTGTGTGTGTGTGTGTGTGTGTGTGTGGAGATGTTAAGGGAATGAGGGTGGAGGGAGGGGCAACAATTCCATGCCCGCTGCCCCTACCCATTGTATCAGCATACCTGACCTAGGGACCTGGGCTCAAAGAGGCCCTGAAACTTTACTCAAGGTTGCCCAGTAAGTGAGCAGCAGCCTCCAATTCAGTTTATCAGCTCCCATGTCTGTGGTTTAGGGTGACAGAACTACCAAGAAGCCTAGTGTCATTCAAGACCACAGAATGTACCCAGTGCTCCCACAGTGTAAGGAGGGAACTCTAAGAATGGAATTGGACCTCGAACCACACCCCTGATCCAAGGGACCCTGCCACTTGACCTTATTCTGGAATTTAAGGCACACCATGTATCTTTTCCCTCCTTTTCTTCCTTTTAAACAGGAGCTCCGCCGGGCGCTGGTGGCTTACGCCTGTAATCCTAGCTACTCAGGAGGCTGAGATCTGAGGATCGCGGTTCAAAGCCAGCCCGGGCAGGAGAGACCGTGAGACTCCTATCTCCAATAAACCACTAGAAAACCGGAAGTGGCGCTGTAGCTCAAGTGGTAGAGCGCTCGCCTTGAGCTGAAGAGCTGAGGGACAGCCCCGAGGCCCAGAGTTCAAGCCCCATGACCAACAAAAAAAAAAAAAAAAAAAAAAACAGGAGCTCCTTATACATCATTACACACCAAGCTTGACTTTTCTTTTGCTTTTTTTTTTTTTTGCAGGACTGGGGATAGAACATAAGGTTCTCAAGCACCTGAGCTCCCTTCCCCTGACATGTCCACTTTGAACCTCAATTTCCCCATCCCCAAAAGGCTTTCGGTGTTCCCCACAGTGAATGGGGTGGCTGGGCAGCTACAGCAGGGCGTATTCTTCTGGAATGGGTGTCCTAAGCTCTGGTACTGGAGGCGGGGCGGGGGGGGGGCACCCTGGACCACTGGGTCTCCTAGAGCTCACCTCGTAGCCTCGAGTCTTGGCTCGGCACCAATCCAGCAACATCTGCTTGATGCTGTTGGCATTGGGGACCCCAAAGCTAGTGGAGCGCTGCACAGGTGTGCGGGGCCCTCCTGGGCTGCTGGGATGAGGGAAGAGGTGTTGGGTTAGGGTTACAAGACTTCAGGGGTCATCACCAGAGTGGGCACACAGGCTTGAACTCTCATGACAGTCCCACCACAAAACCCAGCAGCTCTTTTCTGGCTCCGCCCACCACCACTCAGGCCCCTCCTCTGATGTCATCAGGCACCACCCTCTAAGACTGCCCATCCCCTAAGATGCTGCCCAGCCCCCTACCCCTCTGTTACTCACCCTGCAGTGCCCTCTTTCTCCAGCTTCTCAATCATGGCTTTGCGTGCTTGGGATGCTGAAGTCTTGGGCAGACTCTGTGTCTTCAGCAGCTCTTTCTTCTTCTCTGCCTGGCGTTTCTCAAGTGCTGCTAGGCTACCAGGCCGAGCACTGGCCTGGTCCTCTCGGTCAAAGATGCTGGAGGGTGGGAAAATGGCTGTTAGGCCAGAAGAGGAGGAGCAAGCAGCTCCATTACTGCTTGCTGATGGAGGGGCCTGGTATTGTGTCAAGAGCCCCCCACATCTTCACCACCAGCAACTTGGGGCAATGAGGTAGGAAGGTTCTCATAACATCCATTTTCACATACGCACTGAGACTCAAAGGACAAGAAGTTGGGGAGCCAAGCTCTACCACTCAGGTTAGCCCCCTGCAGCTTTCTGAGAAGGTCTTTTGCATTGACACAGGTGAGTTCAGGATCTGGGCACTATCAATGAATAAAAATGACCAGTACAAGACCAGTAATCATCATCATAATAGTAGCTCAATGCCTTAAGTCTTTTTTTTTTTTTGGTCCGGTCATGGGGCCTGAACTCTGGGCCTGGGCGCTGTCCCTCAGCTCTTCAGCTCAAGGCTAACCCTCTACCACTTGAGCCACAGCACCACTTCCGGCTTTTTTCCTTTTGCTTATGTGGTGCTGAGGAATCAAACCCAGGGCCTCATGCATGCAAGACAAGCGCTCTACCACTGAGCCACCTTTCCAGCCCCCCTTAAGTCTTTTTTGTGTGCCATTTTCTTTTCTGCTGACCTAGGGAAGGAGTCCAGGCTCACCAGAAGCTAGGCAACTCTCTCTTCCGGAGCCATGCCTCCAACCCCCTAGTATACTATTTCAACTTCATGGGAGGAGAGAGGGATTCAAGTTATTTCTTAACTAAACTTAAAGAAGTTGAGGTGACCTTGCCTAAGATTTCAGAAGGTAGGAGGACAGAGCTGGAACTCAAACGTCCCAAAATCCAAGACCCTAGAATTTAGGATTTTCTGCTGGATACTGATGTAGTCCTTGCTTCTTTCTTTCCCTCCTCCCTCCCTCCCTTCCTCCCTCCCTCCCTCCCTTCCTTCCTTTTCTTCCCTCCCTCCCTCCTTCCCTTCCTTCCATCTTTTCTTCCTTTCTTTTTCAATGTGGCTCAAACTTGGCCTTGTGCTTACTAGTAAGTGTTCTACCACTTGAGCCATTCCCCCCAAAGCTCTTATTGTTTTACGTTTGCTTTTCCGATAGGGTCTTGTGCTTTTTCCAGGATCTTGGACCTTGATTCTCCCGCCTCTGCCTCTTAGTTAGCTGGGGTTACAGGTATGTGCCATGACACCTGACCCCAGTTCCTGCCTTCTGCCAGGCTCCACCATCCTCGTGAGCATGGAGATCTACTGTTTCACGAACACTTCAAGGCATAAAGGTGCTCTATGACCTGCAGGCAGCTCAGTGTTGTAGATAGGCCTCATCAAGGGCTCAATATTATGGCTGCCACTCAGGCCATAAGCAAGACTCTAGCCTCTCCGAGCATCCACCTCCCCTGTGGGGTGGCTGAGGATTAAATGAGATCACAAAGCAAGCAGATGTGGCCTGACCTGATTTTCCCCTGCTTGACTGTATGCCTAGCATCCGTCTGCCCCTCTACAGAATGAATATGCAGTGAAACTGTACCCCAGCGTGGGTACTAGTGCTTACCTGCCCATTTTCTTGGAGGAAGAGGAAGAGGAAGAGGAGGAGTAGGTCTTAGTTTGCACTGTGGTGCTACCACTGCCATCTGCAACAAAGAGGAATTGAGAGAGAGCTGAGGGCCTGGGGTGCACATCAGGTATCAGGGAGGGGTGGTATAGACACAGGCAGAGAAGAGCAAGTAACGGCAGTTGAAGATGCAAAGAGAGCACTTGAGGAAGAGCCCCCGAAGAGGTGAGAGGAGAAGGCACGGGGCGCTGTCTGGTGGCCTTACTCTCCGAGCGCCTCACGAAACTGGACTCCACTGTGGTGGTGCGGGCTGTCCTTGTGCCATCACCTGGAGAGAGAAGAGATGACAGGACAGGTGTGAGAGGCACCAGGACTCAACGTGAACCCACCCGGAGCCCAGGCTAGCCCCTTACTGGTGTGGACGAGCCGCTCAGTCTTGGTCACCGTGCTGATCGCCGAGCCATCGGCCGCACGCTGGCTGTGCCTTGTGGTAGTCTCTGTGGTTGTGTTGGTTTGGCTCTGCCCTGGCCGGGCCCGGGCCTCTTGGAGCCGCCGTTCCCGCTCTTTATCTCGCTGGTCTGGGTAGGAATGCCCCCATGCATCCCCAGAAGGGCCGCCCAGTGCCCACACAGCACACAGGGCACACAAGATGGGGGTGGAGGGCAGCTTGTTAGAAACACCAAGGACACAGGTAACATAGGCTGCTCTGGGGATGGTGGAAGGGGAGGGGAGCAGCTATAGCTTGGAACAGAGCATGGTGTGAATGGGGGTGGTGGTGGTGATGGATGCAGGTAATATAGGACAGCTGGAAATATGGAATGCCGCCAAAGGGTAGTTGGATCCATGTTTCTATGGGAATGAGAAGCTGAGGCTGGTGGGAGTATCTAATCCTAGGGAGGGACTAGCTGATTCCAAGGAAGGAGTTGGGTGAGCACCATGGTTGAATAGGATGTCAAATGGGCCTTACAGGGAAAAAGTGCAGCTGGAAGAAGTGCTCTCTGGATCTAGGGAGGGACAAGTTGGAGGTATCTGAGAAACAAGTCAAATGCAAAGAAAGAGCAGCTGACAGAGAAGCTAGGAAAGGAGCACAGTTGGCTGGAGTGGCCAGCAGTGGCCCTGGAAGAAGCATGGAATAAGAGAGTATCTGGAGAAGTAAATAAATCTGGAACCAGGAAGAGAACAGCAAAGTCCAGGGAGGAAAGGTCAGGGGGAGAAAAGAGCTGGGTTCAGGAAAGGGAAAGGTGGGTAGGGACACAGGTGAAGGTAGCCATGAATGGCTCTTGGGGAGGGAAGAGTAACTACGGAGGAGGAATAGGAGGAAGAGAAAGATCTGGATTCAAGGAAGGAGTTGTTGGTTGACAAAAATGGGAGAGCAAATGGGCCACAGGAGAGGAGCTGAGAGACAGTAACTGAGTCTCAGAAGAAGAGAAGCAGCTAGGGGAGGGAGCTGCAGGAGCAAAGACTGGCTGGGTGTAGGGAGAATCTGCACAGGGCAGTTATGTTGCTGGTATGTCCATGAATGAGCACAACAGCTGGGTGAGCAAGCAGCTAAATTTAAGTTAAGCAACTGTCTCTCTACCTCTTTTCCTTTGTCGTAGTTCACGAAGTGCAGCCCGGATGAGCTTCCTCTCCTCAAAATCCGTAGCTTGATCTAGCTGCAGATAGAGATATCGTTCTACATCCGGGGCCTTCAGAGACCAAGGCTCTCCTCCCACCCCCCACCAGTCCTTAGCCCAACAGATCCGCCATACCATCTTGTCTAAGACGCTTTCATCTTCAATGGCCAGCAACTCTTCAGGGCTCAGGGGACTCCGTCCCTCTGCGGCTTTGTCCCCACGGGTCTGCTCTGTGCCATTAGCCACTTCCACTGCTGTAGAGGGGGGTTCCACCGGCTCTGGCTCCGTCTTTGGGGATGGGGAGAGTGTATGGATTTTAAACAGGTATATACCTGAAACCCATCATAGCCTGCCAGCCTGCCTGCCCCAGGGTGGCTATACAATGGTGTCAAACCGAGGGAAGAGACAGTGACAATTTATCCCAGAGCTTCCCACACAGCCAGAATCACAGGAATCCTATTGGTAGCAGCAGCGATATAGTTTCCAATCAGTAGCAATCAGTTGTACAAGTGCTAGGGCTTTTCTTATTCCCATTCAACAGAAGGGAAAGCTGAGGCTCAGGGCCTCTGATTGATTTGTTCACAGTCCCACCATGTGTGCAATGTGGCCTGGGGTCTGAGCTGAAGCAGTCTAATTCCTTAACTTCATTTTCCCCCTTACTGCTTCATTTCCAGCTCCCTTGTAGTCAGGCTTCGCTGCATCCTACCAGGTCCTAGGCCATGTTGGCAGGCCCCTATCCGTACTCCCTTGTCAAGGGAGCTGCACCCAGGCCCTAGGGCTCTTAGCCAGGTGTCTGACTGGGGGCTGCCCTCAGCCAAGACCTTGCTGAAGCTCTCCTCTGTACCACATCTGCCCCCATCCTCCACCCCTGTTAGGAACCATACACTAATGGTCCTCTTGCCCCAGCCTAACCCCCCACATCCCAAGGTATCTTTCCAGCCCCTCGAAGCCAAGGTCCCAGGCCAACTATTACAGCTCCGCCTCTCCTGGCAGGGACACTCTGTCTGCCACCCGGTTAAGGAGAGCCAAGATGGCAGCTGTTTCTGGCTGGGATGCGGGGGTTGGGGGGGGGGAGAGGATGCATACAAGGGTGGGGGTAGGGGCTAGGCTATGCCAGGAGCTGCCAAGACAGCTCCCACACGTGCCTCAGGGCAAGAGCCTGACATCTTATTTCAGACTTGGAGCTCTAGTGCTCTAGTCCCCTGTACAGAGAAGTAAACTGAGGCTCAGAGAAGGCCACTGAGCAGAAGCCAGGCCTATATCAAATCCACCCTCTCCCCTTACTGTGGGACTTACGAGACTGCTGGTGTGGGTGGGCCCGGTGGAGGAGCGGCGGCGGGTGCTGAAGGCAGGCGGGTGGGCCACGGGGGTCCCAGTATCCTCAGCCGCCTGAAACAGGGCTTCTGGGTCTGCAGCAGCCAGGAAGAGCTCGCTGGGCTCCAGCTCAGGTTCAAGATCCGGTACAAGTGGGACCCCCAGCCGTAGGCTCAGCACCTCCACCTGCCTGCTCAGCGCATCCAGCCGCCGGCTCAGGGCTGCAGTCTCTGCTTGCAGCTCTTCAGCTGCCTGGGCTACTGGCTGCATGGTGGCTAGGGCTGCATCAGCTGCCTGGGTCACTGCTGCCCGGCCTGCCTCAGCCACTGCCTGCAGCTCCTGCAACGCCTGGCTCAATCGTTCCTCCAAGAGCATAGCCATGTCAGGCCCAGGCCCAGGCCCAGGTCCAGGCACCCCCGGCATAGCACTAGGGGGGACTCTGTGGGGCGTAATGGTGGGACGGTGGCAGGGGCTGCTGTCTAGGCTGGCAGTGTCGGAGTCTTTGCAGTTGGTCTGAGGGCGAAGGCAAGGGCAGCCGGCCTGCCCCGCCCCTGCCGGCCTCTCAGCCCGCCAACAGCCAGCTGGAGGCTGCGGCCCAAATAGAAACCTATTCTGGGCGCCTCTGTGAGGGGGACAGTGGGGGAGGGGAGGCCTGCTCAACCAGGCAGACGGCCAGGCCTGGCCTTGGCCCCTGCAGAGATCACAAACCTGCAGCACAGCCAAGCTGCGTGGGTTCTGATGGAATAGTGTGACCTGGACCCTGTGCCTCACAGGTAGGGGAAACTGAGGTAGGGAGGAGCAACTAGATCTGTCTGAGCAACTGCGTATATTAATGCAGTCCACCACACTCCACAGCCTGACTCTGCCCTCATACCAAGCTGTTAGAAAGTCTTGAATAGCTGGGGGAAACAGAGGCACAGAGAAGCCAGCTCTTGAGCGATCTTCTTTTACAATAGATTTGGATCTAAGATAAATGTCCTTTAGCCTGCCCACGGTGCTCAGATGCAACTCCAGATTTTTAGCAAATTCCTTATAGATGCACCATCTGCTTCCCCTAGTTTGAGAAACTGAGGCAAATTGGTGATGCCAGACTCAAATCTTACTCTGGTACCTTCCATCCACTCCACTGGCTTTAGCTGCAACCACCTCTCCTGCCACCACATCCCAGCTTAGCTGGGACCTGCTTTGGTGGAGGAAGAGAGCTTTCTTGCCCCTCATTCTTTCCAGGTCATTTCAGAAGACCCAAAGATATTTCTAGTACCTCACCTCAACCATTCAGTCTCCAGCTCAGCACAGAGGACATTACCTGGGCAGCTGGGTGGCCTGTTGGGGATCCTCTCCCCAGCTGAGCTCCTGGCCAGGCCATTCCCCGCTTGGGAATGAATAATGGAAGGATGAGGTGTATTCAGTTCCCGTGGCACCTGCTAGGCTGCTGCCTCACCTGACTGCTGCCCCCCTGCCTGGCAGTCCCCAGCAATGCTTCTGACGCAGATGCTAATCACGCATCTCTAATCTTCTAATGGATGATCTTGGATGAGCCGATGAGCCGCTCAGCCACTCAGGAATGATGGCCAGCATGGGGTGGAAGCAGCAAGGGGCAGCAAGCCCTAGCCACCCTCTCTCAGCCTCGGTCTTCCCATCTGTTTATTTGGCATGAAGCAACCAAGTTTGAAACAAGATCAAAGCTCAGCATGGTGGGAAGAAGAAAGTCTGGTGGCAGATAGTTGATGGTTTCATCTTAGCTCTGGCACCAGCTAACTGCCTGTGGCCACTTTCCTTCCAGATCTGAACCTCAGTTTCTCTATGTGTCCAGTAGAAGAGAAGCAAAACAGAGGAACCTTGTGATACCGTTAAAGCACTATAAGTGACGCTGATGGCTGAGGAGGCGAGAAGCAACGGGCTCACCTTAATGCTGTAGCCTCCTCGGCTACCAGGAGAGGCATGGCTGAAGGTGGTGACACGGGTGACACTGCCCAGCCGGGCTTGGGGCCCAGGGTGGCTGACATGGGTGATGGTGCTCTTGCTCCTACTGCTGCTGCTAAGGAGGGTAGAGGGCGTCCGCAGCCCCAGTGTCAGTTCTGGAATGGGGAGAAGGGATGCTGTCAGGGTCAGGGGCGGTAATGGGGTGGTGCCAGCCAAGGTCAATGGCACTCTTGTCCCTAGTGCACCCTCTGGAGACACCCTGAGCCCTGGCCAGCAGCACCTGTCCCATGTGCAGAGCTGGGGGGGAGGGGGGGGAGGCCTACCTGCCCTCTGGTTGCCTGCAGGCAGCAGCACCCGACCTGTGGATGCCTGGCCACGGCCATCCTTGATCTCGATGGTGAATGTGGTCTTCATACTGCCCCCTGATTCTGCAGTGCTGGCGGGTAGTGGGGCACTGGGCTCCTCTGAGCAGGTCCTGGGCCCCCCTGCTCTGTTTTCAAGGGACCTGGCAGCCAAGCTCCGCCCCTCTGGGCCCTCCGCCTGGGGGCAGCTCTGAAGCTGGGCCAGGGGCTGAGCTGTTCCTCGCTCTTTGCTGAATCGGGAGGAGGTGTTACTAGGGCCTTGAGAGGAGGAGCTGCTGGAGGAGGAGGCAGAAGTGGTACTGATGAGGGAGGGGCCCAGGAGTCTTGTGGGGGTCAGGGAAGTGAGAGCTGCCCGGGGTGGGCCATCCTGCAGCCTGGCAGACATAGGAGAATCTGAGGTAAACTTGCGGACACGATCTCTCACAGAGCCAGCCCGCTGGAAGGGAGAAGGTCCGCTGGCAAGAGGGGTGGATACTGGAAGGGACAAGAGGTTCTGTCAGTGGCTGGATGGGACCAGGACTGCCCAGAGATTGTGGCTGGTGAAGAATAGGCAGGGCAGTACCTTGATTCTGGGCTGGCTGTTGGGGGCTGAGCACAGACAAGGAGCGTTGACAGGATTGGGGTCCAGCTAGGTCTGGCAGTTTTGGCGGGGAGAGAAAGGAAAGGGAATGATGGGGACAGGTCCGCTTTTCATATGTCTCCCTGCTACATGGCCATAACCCCCCAATCCCCTTGTATCCCACGACCTCCCATCACACCCTACATCATCCATTGCTCAGGCCTGCTTGCTCAATGGCATCTCTCCCTACAGGGCCTCCTTCTCCTCCAGCACTGACCTCAGGGGCACTTGGGTACTCTTAGGGGCTAGGGCTAGGCTTGGGCTGGAGGAAGGTGGCCAGGTCCTCCCTAGGGATGGGAATAGGGGACAGCCCCCCCCCCCCCCCAGCCAGCACTGCCCATGAGATCTGGCTGGGAGATGGGTGCACTCCCTTATTGGGGAGAAGAATGTGCCTAAGGCCTGTTGCCTTTCAAGGCTGCAGGGAGGCCTCTGGCCATGGGTGGCAGGGGTGGGCCTGGCCAGGGGCGGGGACATTACAGGGGCAGTGGGGGGGGGGTGTCCAGGACTGTGTGGACCTGAGGAAGCTGGAGCTGTCCAGGCAGAAAAAGAGGTTGGGCCAGGGGAAGACAGATGCCCGTGACTACCCATGCTGAGATCCATCCTCACCTGCTCTCTTGGTACTGGAGGGGCCCCTGGTGGGACTCTGGGTAGCTGGAAACTCTGTGGAGCCAGGCAGGAGCTACAGAGGAGACATAACGTAGGCAGGGCAGTGTCCCAGGCTGGCTCAGATGTTTGGAAACCCTGTCCCTCGTCCAAACTCACCTTGTCCTCCGGCTGCCTCTCAGGGCTGGAAGGTGATGGTGACACTGGAGGCTCAGGGCTGGGAGCCTGTGGTGGGCTGAGAGGTGGCTCAGGACTTCCTGGAGCCTCAGCAGCAGGACAAGGGACCCCAGCAGGCTCAAGCAGAGGCTCTGGAGAAGCCACCGTGGGTGTACTGTCGGGGGAGGCAGGTGAGCTGGGTGTGTCTTCAGGTGGGGCCCTCAGCACATCCTGGCTGGTGTCCTTAGGGGCTGGGGTTGACTCTGGGACCTTTGTCTGCTGCTCCTGTTCTTCCTGTTCAGGCACCTGCGGGGGACCCATAAAATGCAACCGAGGCTTCCCTGATCTCTACTGTTACTCGAGCCTATGGAGGGCCAGGCTGGCAGGTACTCAGGGTAGGGCATGCAAAGCAGAGGGGCGGGGCCTGGCTTCCTGTGAGTACAGCTTCATAAGGACGGCGTAGTCTCTGACCCCTACTCCTCTAATCTCCTGGCACGGCCTAGACAAGGCGGTTCAGACAGGGTCAGCCATGCCAATGGCTGGGGATGGCGAGGAAATTCATGGAGACTTTGGTTCCCCAATAGATGCCTGGAGCAGAGAGGCTCCTGGTTCTGGCTTTAGCCCCTGCCAGGCCTGGAAATCCAGCGACCTCTGCTGGTCATTTGGGGAACTATGGCTTGGCTTCTTTCCCATACTCTTGGCAAACAGAAAGAACTCTGGGAACAGTGCACTGGGGCCTGACGCTGAGACCCTGCTGAGCCAAGGTAAGGATGTGCGGGCTGTCTGGAGGGTGAGGGGCTGCCTGGGGGCAGGTTTAGGGGTGCAGAGGGTGTTCTAAGTCAGACTTGAATTTCAGGAGATCTTTCTGGCTTCAGGTAAGATGGCAGGGTGGGGGTACAAAGAGGAAGAGGTGGGAGAGGGGCCTGAAAGTGATCAGAGGCCTGAGAAAAAGCTCCAGTGTTTCCCCCCCTCCCCGCCCCCCCCCCCTCCCCCCCCCCCCCGGACACAGGCTGGACGCCCCCTCACAGTCAAATACCAGTGCAGCAAAGACACATGGGCATTCTGTACTACTGGCGTCTATGAGCACATGACACTGTCCACCTCCCACCATGCCGGCACTCCCTACCTCACGCCGGTCCAGCCTGCGTGCCACCCGCTCCTCTCTGTCCCCTCTGGAGCTGCTGTTGGGACGTCCGCTACACAATCTCCCAGCCAGGGTGGCGGCTGGAAGGGCAGAGGCAAGTGTCAGGTGAGGGCTGGGAGATGCTGTAAGCATCCCTCAGCAGTGGGACCAAGACAAAACACTCACCTTCAATCTCCTGAGCCCGGACACGGCGGATGGCAGCTCGGATCAGCTTGCGTTCTTCATACTCACCGGCGCTCCGCAGCTGTGGGTGAGAGGCAGGTCAGTGATCACAGGCCTTCGCCTGTCCTGTCCCCTCTTCCCCTGCCCTGGCCTGAGCCTCACCAGTGTAGTCAACTCTTCCACATCATTCATGGACTCCAGCTGCCCTGCCAACCGTGCCAGGGCAGCCCGTTGCTCAGCTTCCCGCTGCTCAGAGCTGTGGGGACATCATGATTGTAATCGCCACTTCCATGGCCAAGTGGGGGTACCCTAAGCCTTGGCAGAGGGGCCTAGAGTTGTTTCTGTAGCCCCTCTGGCTGCACACTGATTCATCTATACTCTTGATGTGGGTACCAAAACCAATGCCCAGAGCCAAGCGCTGATGGTGCATGCCTGTAATCCTAGCTACTCAAGAGACTAAGATCTGAGGATCACAGTTCAAAGCCAGCCTGGGCAGGAAAGTCCATGTGAATCTTGTCTCTAATTAACCACCAGAAAACTGAAAGTGGAGCTGTGGCTCAAAGTAGTAGAGTACTAGCCTTGAGTAGAAAAGCTCAGGGACAACGCCCATGCCCTGAGTTCAAGCCCCATGATTGACATCCATGCATGCATCCATGCATGCATGCATGCATCCATCCAGAAGTAAATAAAACCACTGCCCAGATGTGCTAACCACACCCCAGGGCCAGACAATCACCACCAGGGCCACCAAATCCCTGTGTGTTTCAAGTGTCTATACTCTACTGTGCCCACACCTGCCCAGCACGCATTCCCTCTCACACCTGCACAGCCACCCCCCTGTCACTCACTGAAGCCAGTTCTCTTTGTTGTCCTGCCGCTCCGCACGGAAGCGCTTGGATGCCAGGGCCTCCTCCTCTCGCTCCAGCTCCTGCCGCTGCAGCTCCCGGATGGCCGAGCGGATGCGCCGCCGCTCTGCCAGATCCGCTGTGACCTCTAGCTGTGAAGGGAGGCAGGGGAGAGGGAGGCAGGTCATTTTGGTCATAGAAGGGGTGGGGAGAGGGGTGGGGATCAGAGAAGGGTTGGCACCAGCTGCCCACTACTCTGCTTAGGGCACAATGAGTGGCCTGTCTCTACTCCCTCTGCTGCAAGCTCTTCACGTGCCTGCCCACCCACCCAGAGTCCCAGAGGGGTGACCCAGCTCAGGGCACCGGGGATCTTGGCAAGGCTGCTGTGCATTGTGGTTTGCAGAGCACCTTTTGTGAGTGCTCAGTCAGCAGCCACCCACCTGATCAGGTAACAAGCAGCTAGGCACCCTTTCCTGTGACTTGACTCCTGCCCACCCACCCCAACCCTTCATTAAACCCCAAGAGCCAGGAAAGGCAGAAGGAGGGAAGACCACCCCTATATTAACAAGGGTTCTTGGCTGTTTCCATGAAGTAGTCTCAGCACCACAGCCCTGCTGGAGAGGATGACAGAAAGGGAAGTGAGAAAGGGGCAGGTGCTCAAGAGTTGTCCCCCTGCCTGCCTGGGGTACGATCGATCGATCGATCGATCGATCAATTGATAGATAGATAGATATTCCTTGCACGGTCTTTTGCCTAGCACTAGTCACTATGGGAGCAGAGCCAGGGAGGATCAATCTCCCAGAGAGATTGCAGCTGGCTCTCTGGCTACCAGAGCTGCAGAGAAGGTGTTTGTTTATGGGGGACAGGAGCTCCCACCCCTTTCTCACTTCTCAAGTCTCTGGGATGTGAGGTGTGGCTGGTCTAACCAGGTCTAGCAAAAGGGTAACTTCTCTGAGCCGAGTCAGCCAATCCTGGTGCCTCCCCCAAATCACTGGGTAGAACCGTCTTACAGGGATCCTGTGTTGCTCAAGGGAGAGAGAACTGGCCTGGGCCCCTCCAGGAAGGCAGCCCAGTGCTATGCTTCCGGTTTGGGTCTGATAGGCAGATAGGCCTGAGTAAAGGCAGATTTCCTCTGCCTCCACTTGGCCCCAAATCATTCAGAGTTCAGAGCCAAGGAACCCCCTCTCCTCTTCCTTTCTGGCTTCCCCCTCCATCATCCTTCCTTCCTGCTCTATGGGGTAGGTAGCCAGATGGTAAAGATCCCAGATAGACAGGTTTTAATAAAGTACGTGCTGACCCAACACTTCCAAGAGCCAACTGGGTAAGTGTGAAGAGTGTGGAGTTTGTGACATTGAACCCTCCATGCTTTGAATGGCTGAGAAACTATGAATGGGTCCCCTGAAGCTCAGGCCCCCTATCAGTCCCAGTTCAGCTCTGGCTGGGTGGTCAGGGGCATATCCTTTTATTAGTCATATGGGACAATGGCCCCTAACTCAAGAGTTTTTAGATAGGGATGGAGCAGGACCTGGGGGCATTGGCGGAGGGGGGCGGGGAATCTCCCTTATATATATATGCTAGCCAATCAGGAAAAGGGAGAGAGAGCAAAGGGAGGTCAGGAAGGACAGGGCATATTGACTGAGAAACTGTGCCAGACTTTTTGCTAAGCCCTTCCCTGTCCTCCTCTTCAAAATCCCTACATATTTTATGCTATCTGACAGAAGAAGAAACCGAGGCTCGGGGAGAAGTCATTTGCTCATGGTCAAATCACCAGAAGCAAAAGATCAATCCAGGTTTTCGGCCCCCAGGACCTGTCTTAGACTTGTTTGTTATGTTGGGGAGCCTTCCCGTCTAGTTTAAGAATGGCAAAGCCTGCCTAAGGGGATGTACTTCAGCAGTGAGGGAGAAGGGGGCTCAGCAGAAGACTTAGAGATTGGGGGGTAGAGGCCCAGAGGTACAATGCTTAGCCCTCTGCCTCCTGGGTCCCCATTCCCCAAACCCTGAGCTCTGAGCTCCAAAGGGGAGGTCCTTCTCTCTCCCGCCTCCGCCCTTCCCCACAAAAAAAGCCTAACCTGGAAATTTGGCCATTGCTGCAATCCCTGGGAACCTAAGTCTCCATGGGGAAATTGGGAACCTCCCTCTGATTCCCTCAAATTGGCCTGGGCAGCGCTGAGGGATGAATCTAGCCCCACTGGTCACCTCCCAGAATGACCCTTCTCTTTGGGCCTGCAGGCTAAGGTCACACCACAGTGTCTCCGCTGTGTCCTGCGTACCCCACCCTGTCAGGCACGGGGCGGCTGTGTGTGGAGGGGGCTGTGGGAGGGAGGGAAGAAGTACAAAGGGCCATTGTCCACCAGGGGGAAGGGGAAGGGGAAAAGGGAGGTTTCCGAAACTGCCTTAGTGAAATTCTCCAGGGAGGAAAGAGGGTGCTTCCTCCTCCCGGGGAAGGGAGGAGGGTCTCCGAGCGCTTTCGGCTGGCCTTGCTTGGGGACGCCTGGCAGGTCCAGCTTCCCTGTGGGCCTCAGTCTCCCCATCTGCACCCACCGCTCCATCCCAGGGCCTTGATTTCTCGTGGGGGGGGGGGGGACCCGCAGAGCGTGGAACGACGCCTCCAGGGGGCGCTGCCGGCCTGCCCCCCCTCCCCGCCTGTCCCAGCCTCAGCGGGGCGCCCGGCGGGCGTGTGGGGGGGCAGACAGGAAGCCCCCCCCCACCCCCCGCTTAATGTCCCAGTCTAGAGGGGAAACCGAGCCCACAGCCCCGGCCGCTTCCCCGGGTCACCCCGCGGGGGCGTTGGCGCTGCAGCCCAGGGCGGAGGGGCGTCCTCAGGAGCGCCCCCCAATCCCGCGCAGCCCCCCGCCCCGTCCTCAGGAATGTGCGGGAGCCGCGGCCGGAAACAGCTGCCGAGATCCTGAAGCCGGCGGGGGCGCAGCTGGGCGGAGCGGGCCCAGCTTTGCCTTATAAGGCCCGGCCCCGCGGGGAGGAGTCGGGCTCGGGACGCCCCGGTTCCTGCCACGAGGCCGGCGGGGCCTGGGCCGCGCTCGGAGGGCAGAGCCGGGGCGCACCGGCGGCGGGCGGCGCGGGGCTCGATCTCGGGGTGGGCAAGGGCTTTGGTTACAGGCGGTCACGAGTCCGAGGGGCGGGGGGCGGAATAGTTGGATTTAAATCACCGCTCCGGTTTCTTCTGGAAATCACCCAGCGCCCTGAGCTTGCGTGAGAGCGGGCGGGGGGTCTGGCGGCTGGAGAACCCCGAGCCTCAGGGTGGATCCCGAGCGATGGGCATGCGCGGAGACCCGGCCTGGTTTTGTGTCTGAAGCCCGCTGGCTCTGCTACCCCGGTTAAAAGACTCTGCACTTCTGGAGGTGGAGCTGCCTTGTCCGCTGGGCACCTTGGGAAACGCAGCGCCGTCTCCTCCAGGTTGCTAGCCCGCAGGGGCAGCTGGAGGCCACAGATACCCAAGGGGAGGCAACAGGTTTTCTGCACGTCTCCCCCCCCCCCCCACCCCCCATGGCCTGCCCAGCCCCCTGAGCCTAAGGCACAGTTGCTGGGGAGGGGTGAGTGGGCTCCAGCCTTTGCTTCCAGTGGAATATGGTATGAGGGTGGAGTGGATCACTTAACATAGGGAAAGTAAATCTTTAATTTTCTTTCTGGGCAAGGGTCAGAGACTGGGCAGCGGGGCCCTGGGCTCCTCTGAGTCATCCGCTGCCTGGCTCTGCTGGTGGGCACAGCCCGCCATACTGGGTTACCCCACAGCCCTCCGAGCACGGGATGGGAAGAAGTTATGTGTGCGCGCGCGCGCGCGCGCGCGCGCGCGTGTGTGTGTGTGTGTGTGTGTGTGTGTGTGTGTGTGTGTGTGTGTGTTGGGGGATGGATGGGATCCTTTCCGCCTGCTTCTTAAAACCTGGGCCCATACCTTGTTCCACTCGTATGCCAATCTTGGGACCTAGATTTTTGTGTTCACACACCTCTCCCTCCCATTTTACAGGTAAAGAAACAAAGGTTCAGAGTGGGAAAATGTCGGACCAAAAGTCACACCGCGCACAGTCTGTTTATGGGTTCCTCCAGCTTTGTCTTTCTCTTGGTTACCCCATGGCCCTCGCTCGGGGGTTTGGATCCTGGCACGACTCCAAACTGGGTGCCTTCAGGCAGGTGGTTTCAGCTCTCTGGAGTTGTGAGCATTCTGTGAGCTGGGGTCCCAGCCTCCAGCCTACCCCCTGCTGTGCCCTGTTATTATTAATCATTATCATTGGGCCACCGTCCAGGGGTGGGTCCTGCCCAGGCTGTTGCTGGGTAGAGGCAGATTCAGCCTCCCCACACCTGTGGCTGCACATGGGCGAGTCCCCAGCAGTTACTGTTTAAACAGGTGGTGGGGGTGGGGGGACTGGGAGGTACCAGGCCTTAGCACCTGGCATGGACAGGAGGCACATGCCACAGGGGCCTCTGCATCAGCCAAACGGAACTAGCATGACCCTGGTCCCCTGACCCTCCCTTCAGACAACTCTACATCACCTCTTTCTGTCAGCTGACTGCCCACTACCATCTCTGGCCTCACAATAGTGTTATATGGGGCCACTTACCAGTTTCCGGAGGGCTCCCTCATCCAGCCCAGCCAAGGCATCATCTGCCATCTTGCAGGCCTCCAGCTTTGTGTGTATCACCTCCTGGTGAGATCCCAGGGCCTATGGCACCTGACACCAGCTCAAGAGAATTCTGCAGGGGACAGACAGGAGTTAGGACTGCTGAGGCTTCTAGAAACCACAGGCACTTGGGCTCTGGTGCCTGCATTTCCCTCTAACCCATGAGTTTGTCCTGTGATGTGGCTCCAAGCTGGGAGTGGTCTCCTCTCTTAGGGTGGTTCCCTGGAAAACGCACCAATTCAGTTTCAAGAATAGGTGTCCCTGTTCTAGCCTTGCCAGCTTGACTGCCAGTCTGCTGTGTGGTCTAGGCTGGCATTCTGTTTTAAGCCTCAAACAGGAAAGAGAGGGGCATAAACCTGGACTGAGAAGCCGGATCCATTGAGGCCCACCCAAGCCGTGTTCACCACCAGGGGGTGCACAGCCAGTCTCCACAGTTTCCTGCCCCACCCACCCGTTCTTAGGGCCCTCCCAGTCTCCCCTTTACCCCCTCCCTCACTCTATATGCTCACCATCTGCTATGGGCTGAGCCCATAGCCTAGTCCTATCTGCTTTGATCATTCCCATTCACCCCAGGTATGGGAGCTACATACCTACCTATCAATTCTTGGAGCCAGCCCACTGAGCACACCCTTCTTCCCTCCTCCCAACTGTCCTGATCTCATGAAGCCACTCGGCTCCTTTTGCCAGTTCACACACCTCCAATTCATTTCCCAGCTGGTATGTCCTTTAGAAACTGACCCACCCCCTCAACCTCTAGTCTTCAGGCAAACTTAAGAAGATGGGAAACAGGGCCAGAGATTTGTCATAGGGTGAGTGGGGTAGGAAGGATGAACTCAAAAACTCAAAGGGCAGGAAGGAACCTAATAAAAATCATACAGACTTCCGCCTTCTGAAGTCCCCCCACCCCAATCCACCACTTCCCTCTGGTCCCATCTCCATCCTCTGGGACCTCTAAACCCCACTCCAGGCTCCCAGAGCAATTCTCTCCTTTTTCCTTGAGCCCCAATGTCTTTGTGAAATTTGAAAGCCCATGGCCCAGCATACCTATCAGCTTAGTTAATATAAAGTGACTGAAATGGCCTCAGGATTCCCCCCCCCCCCACTTCCCAGTTGATTCATCCTTTCAGTCACCCCTTCTTTCTTCTCCCAAACAGTCATTTGACGAGTCACCCCATCTTGAGTGACTGAGTCTGGGGGTGTCCTAAATCCACACAGTTGGGGTTTCCTGGTCCTGCCTGTTTAAGTCTGTTTACCTCTTCCATCCTGGTAGGCTCAGATGGGTGTCAACTTCCCAAACTCTTTCGTTAGGGTCCCTGTGTCTTGTTCTCCCTACTTTGGGTAATCCTGCCTCACCAAAAGCGTCCCTTCGGAGTCACAAGCCTTAGGTTCTGTGGACATTCTGCATGTTCTTCTGTTGGCTTGTTCCTTCTTCTTCTGAAGGACAGTATCTAATTTAGGGGACTGTGAGAAGGCTCTTCTTCCTTAGGGATTCCCACCTCTGCCCCTGCCCAGTCCTAGGTTTCCCTGTCATACAGTTGAGTCCCCTGGAGATTGTGAAGAGGGCTTGTGAATCTGTCTGTGGGAGCTTCCCTGAAGGTGTTTGCCCCCCATAAATGAACAACCCTGGGGGGCGTAGAGCCTGTGAGAGATCCCCGCCAAATATTCTGTGGCTCAGAGTTCCCGTGATTGGCTGGGGAGAGGGCTTCCAGGTCTGAGGGTTCCAAGAGCCCCGTCTAGATATCCATGTTCCACCCTCCCTGAACCCGTCGGGGGTGAGGGTTCTAGTGTTGCCCCGATGTCCGCACACCCACCTCTCAGTCCAGGCTGCCTGTCCGGCGCGGGCTCGGTTTAGCTCGCTGGAGACCGATAGATGGAGTAGCGACGGTCCAGCGGGAGGCGCCGCGACCTGGCACCCCAGGTCTGCTCAGCAACCGTCCGCTGGACTTCTGCTACAGCCGCCTGTCCAGCCGCGCCAGCAGCCTCTCTGACTCCGCCCTGTCCCGTCGCCCCAGCCAATCCTTGATTTGGCCCCTCCCACGCTCGCTATTCATTGGGGAAATTCAATTTGAAGGCCACTCCCCGAGAAGAGGCCCCGCCCTCCGGCGCTAAGGATGTCGGGTATTGTAGTCTTGGAGCTGCTGTGCTGTGTCTGGCGGGGTCGGATGGGCGTCCATGCGGGAGGTTGGATGCAGGATCTACAAGGTCGAGGTGGGTTCCCTCAGCTGACAAGTGACCTGAAATCGTAGGAGCACCGAAGCCATCAGGATGGCTCCTCCCCGCCTTCCCCTTTGTTCGTGAGAACTAGTTGTCTCCCCCCCCCCGACTCCACCCACTTCTGACGTCAGTGTTCTGTCTCGAAGGTGGCCACTTTGGGGACACCTGGTCTGGGTCCCTGGAGAGCAGGGTCTGAGTGACTAGCTGCACTTTGACACCGGGCTGAACCTCCGGGGACCGAGGGGGGGAAGGAGAGAGAGACACACACAGAGAGAAACAGAGACAGACAGAGAGAGAGGGAAGGAGGGGGGGAAGGAAGAAGGGAAAGAGGGGGGAGGGAGAGAGAACATTTCCACGATCAAACAAGGAGTCTAATCAGGGAGAATGGAGCTTAGATCCACTAGGGAAAGCCACCCTAGGGTGAGGACTGGCGACCAAAGAAAGGTGGAGCTTAGGCTGATGGAGTCGGGGGCAGTCCTGACTGTCAAATACATACAATAAAAATAGCAACTCACTTCATTTGAACTTGTCATGCACCAAGCGTGTGAATCGTCATAATTAAGTGATACCTGCATTGTTGTTCTATTATACATATGAGGACAAAGGCCCACAGGTAGTGGAGCTGTGATTCATGCCACCTTCTGAGTCTAGCATCTGTGCTTTGTAGCACAGGATTGTGGGGCCATGTTCCTGTTGAAGACCCTAGGTTCAGATCCATCATGATCTTGAAGTAAGGAGGCCAGGTCTGGAAGTCCCTATATTGGCCACCTGTTGGATTGTAGGGTCTGGAATCTCATCTTCACGCTGGGGAAAGAAAACCCCCTGCCATCAGCTGCCTCCCAGGTAATGGGTGTGTCCGGATCCCTGGAGGCAGGGGCGGGCTCTTGGCTGATAGGTTACCAAATCTGTCAGTCCAGTGCCTGGGACTGGGAATTTCCTGAGGATTTGACCCTTCCGTCGACCTATTTAGGCCCGGACCAGCCTAGCTGCCGTTGCTCCATGTCACACGTGTCTCCGAGATCCTGTCCTGTCTCCTGTCTCCAGTCATCATGGCGTCCCGACTCAGCTCTCCATTGAAGCTGAATTGGCTTGTTGGTATTGTTTTTGTTATTTCTTTACCCTTTAGCATGTTTGCTAGCTGTGTTATGTGTATTTGAGTGCTGCAGGCCTTTGTAACAACTGGCTACCTGCAGCTGTTAACTATATAATAAAGACTCCAATATTGGATATTTTAAAATGTGGCTTCTGGGATGATTCACCTTAAAACAATCTTCCAATACAGACATCCAAGGAAAGGACTGTTATCCACCCATCTGTCATCTAATTCCATCCCCTTCTTTTCTTTTCTTTTTTTTTTTTTTTTTTTGTTTTTGGGTGCAGGTACCAGATCTTTAACTCAGGGCCTGGATGCTTGCTGTCCCTTTTCTGCTCAAGGCTAATGCTCTACTAGATAGTTAATTGAGATAAAATTCTAATGGACTTTCCTGTTCATGCCTGGCTTTAAATCTTGCTCCTCAGATCTCAGCCTCCTGAGTACTTAAGATTACAGGCATGAGCCAATAGTGCCCAGCCTCAGACAGAGCCTAGTTTGGAGGATTAGTTCAAGGTCCCAGGCCCTCAGAGAGCCCTCCAAGGCCAACTGTGTTGAACTGCATACCTCTTGGGACCGCCCTTTCCTGTAGGGCACACCTATATTCCCCTTAAGAGTCTCAGGGCCTGCTTGAGTGGCAGTTGTAGGCTCCAATGAATGGCCATCTCCATACTAGCTCTGTAACTCTGCTGAGGAATTGTACAGGTGTCTGTCTGCATGGATTTAGTGTCTCACTCTGGCATTCATTCACTGCTGGCTGTGCCACTGTGGGAATGCAGATCACAGATAAGCCCTTTAGGGCTGGTATCCAGCCCAAACCAGCTGTGTGCCTTTTTCTTTTCCTCCTGGCAAGGGGGTGATGCCAGGAGAGGGAGTGAGGTGACTGGTGATAGCGGTAATCTAGAGATCAAAGGGCACTCTAGTGCTGAAACTGAGAACTCTTACAGCCACAGCCCAGGAAAGAGTAAACATCAGGAGATATTTGTCCAGCATCTGTTGCATGTCAGACAACCATTGCAAGAGAGAGTCTGATCCAACAGAGGAGGAAGTGGAAGGTTAAGGAAATGAAGACATCCTGGGCCAGTAGTGACACATAAACAGTTGAATTCTACCTAAAGCTGAAGATGCTTCTTTCTACCTTGCTGCTTCTTGGATGAGTATGTGTGTTGGGAGGTGTTGGAGGAATCCTGGAAGGCTTATCAGAAGAGCTAATGTGTAAACTGATCTTAAACATGAGTGCAAAAGAAACTCCACAGATAAGGGAAAAAGGCATGGAAGGGTATTTTGGTAGAAGAACTGTAAATGGGAAAAGGAAGAGAAGGAGCTATGGGTGGAGGAATTGGGGGAAGGTTAGATCTATCTGTGAAGGGCCTTGAATGCCAAGTGAGCAGGGTGAATGACTTGAAGGAGGAGGCCTAGTCCTCCAGCTGCTTGTCTAGAAAAAGAAGGGATGGCACTGGTCAGTTCCAGGTCATCCTAAAACAATGGGTTACAACAGGAAGGCTTCTGATTCTTCCAGACACAGACTGGCTGAGTGGAGGGTCTCTGGAGCAGCTTAGGAGCCAAGGATAAAATTTTGTTCCAGACTCTAGTCTTGGAATGAGTATCATACCAAGCGGGTGGATCAGAATGTGGATCTATATGCTAAGTGCTGGTGGCTCAGACCTGGAATCTTAGCTCCTCAGGAGGCTGAAATCTGAGGATCAAGATTTGAAGCCAGCCTGGGCAGAAAAGTTTATGAGACTCTTACCTTCAATCAACCAGCACAAAGCCGGAAGTGGAGCTGTGGCTCAAGTGGTGGAGTGAGGTGGGGGTGGGGGATTGGAGTCTCACAGCGCAGTGGCTACATGGAGACAAGGTTTCTGGACTCCAGAAGATATGGAGAGCGGAGCCCTCACTTGCTTTGGTTTGTGGAGAGAAGTTAAGACCTGCAGCTTGGGGAAGAGTGTGAGTAGAGAAAGGGAGGCAGAGTGGTGAGGACTTTGTAGGGAGGTTGGGCAAGTGAGGTGAGGCCAGAACACAGAGGCCCTGGAGGAGAACTGGTTTTGTTTTATTTGGTGGTACTGGGGGTTGAACTCAGGGCCTCTTGCTTGGGAAGCAAGCACTATACTAGTTGGGCCATACCCCCAAGTCATTTTGCTTTTAGCTTGTATTTCAGATAGGGTCTCATGCTTTTTGCCCAGGTCAGCTTTGGATCTTGATTCTCCTATCTCCACCTTCTGAATAGCTTAGATTATAGGCATGCACCACTGCATCGGGCCTAGAACTGTTTCTTGCTGGTATGGGTCTAAGATGTGCGAGCCTCCTCGTGAGCAAAACTGGAGGTTCCCAAGGTCACAGCCCAAGGAGGAGGATGGAGGAAGGACCTCGTTCTCAAACCAGTTTGGCAAGGCCATGGCCTCCGTGATGTCATCAAGCTGCTGTTGCTCTGGGCAACGTTGTCACTCAAACTTCCGGTGTTGGAGAAGGGAAGTGGGTCCTGAAATGCCTGCTAGGCAGCAAGGGACTCCAGAACAGCATCATAGACCAAGGAGACAACTCTGGCTGGGCCAGGCTGGACTTCTATGACTGCTAAAGGATCCCCTGGTGTCTGGTGAGGGGAGAATCTAGGTCCATGGCAGGGGCACCGTGCAGTTGTCATCTGGTGGGTCGGATCCTCACTTGCACATCCTTTGTAATCCACGTGTGGCAATTTGTCACTGTGGTCCTTGTAGCTTGCATCTTTTTTTTTTTTTTTTTGTCGGCCGTGGGGCTTGAACTCTGGGCCTGGGCCCTGTCCCTCAGCTCTTCAGCTCAAGGCGAGCGCTCTACCACTTGAGCTACAGCGCCACTTCCGGTTTTCTGGTGGTTTATTGGAGATAGGAGTCTCACGGTCTTTCCTGCCCGGGCTGGCTTTGAACCACGATCCTCAGATCTCAGCCTCCTGAGTAGCTAGGATTACAGGCGTGAGCCACCAGCGCCCGGCTAGCTTGCATCTTATAAGTCACAGGCTGAGCCACATCCGTGACTTGTTTGTTTTTTAGTCCCTCTGGAGTTGAACTCAGGTCCTTTCATTCTCTATGAAGGTGCTTTGCCACTTGAGCCACTCACCCAGACCTTTTTGCTTTAGATATTTTTGGAACAGTGTTTTGCATTTCTGCAAAACCAGGCCAGCCTGGACCTCCATCCTCCTACTTATGTTTAACATCATAGCTGGGATGACCAGAGTGTACCACTACACTCAGCTAGCCTTGAATTAAGATCCTCCTGATTTTCACTTCCCTAGTTGTTGGGATTACAGGTGTGAGCTACTGTACCCAGCTTTGTTCTTTTTTTTTTTTTTTTTTTTTTTACCCAGGGCTTGTCTCTGAGCTTAGCTTTCTGCTCAAGGCTAGCACCCTACCAGTTTGAGCCACAGATACACTTCTGGTTTTCTGGTGGTTAATTTTGGGGCTTTCCTGCCCCAACTGGCTTTGAACCGTGATCCTCAGATCTTAGCCTCCTAAGTAGCTAGGATTACAGGTATGAGCTACCAGTGCCCAGCTTCCCAACTTTGTTCTTAGTCACTGTACACCAGCAGTAACTGTTTGGGTGCTCTGTCTGTACTGGCCTTGTCAGATTATTTTAAATGACCCCATTCACTACTTGAAAATACTACAGCTGGACTCCTAGATGGTCTCTTCATGATCCAGACAGCTAAGCTGAGTCTCAGAGAGGGGGAGGGACAGGTCCACACACAGATCCCCAGCTTCCCAAATTGCCTTTGTCTTCCTCAGACCTAGCTCACCAATGTGATGCAACAATAATAAATGACACAAGTACCTCCCCCATGCCATCCACTCATTCTCCACAGCTCTGAGAACTAGGTGCCAAGATTATGTCTATTTTCTAGGTAAAACTGAAAGGTTCCAGCCCAGTGCAGGTGACTCATACATGTAATTCTAGCTACTTAGGTGGCTGAGATCTGAAGATCACAGTTTCAAAGCCAGCCGGGGGAAGGGAAGGTCTATGAGACTCTTATCTCCAATTAGCCACCAAAAAGCCTGAAGTGGAGGTGTGGCTCAAGTAGTAGAGCATCTGCTATGAGCAGAAAAACCTGAGTGAGCATGAGGCCCTAGTTCAAATCCTAGTACATGTACACATAGACAGACAGACACACGTACACACACACACACACACACACACACACACACACGGAGAAAGCAACAGATTCAGAAAGAGAGGGAGAGTTCCTGGTCCAAGTTGTCTGAGCATGTTTTGGTAGGGCTGAGATGCCAACCAGGTGTGTGGGCCTTACACCCCGGGCTGAGTCAGTGAGCTTCAGTGGAGGCAGGAAGACCTACAGATGAGAAGGCGACTGTCCCCTCGCCCAGGCAGGCAGCATCCAGAGGCCAGCGGTGTCGGGTTCTGAGCTCCCTGCAGGCTTGGCTTCTTTGGGAGTGGGCAGGAAAGTGCTGAGGCTGCAGAAGGGCTGAGTAGCTTCTCAGAGGAGGCGGCCATGATGGGAGGGAGGGAGGGAGGGAGAGAAGGAGGGGCGGAGGGAATTCTCTGCACCAACCTCAGAGCCAAGTGTAGACGTGGCTGCTGGACCAGCTGCAGGCAAGGGAGGGCAGAGGAGCAGGGTGGGGCTCAGACCCAAACCCAGCCTCCCAGCCATGTTCCCAGCCCTCAGCCTGCTAGGCCAGGCCAGGCCCTGCTCTTCTCCCCATCTGGATTTGACATGAAGACTGCTTGACCTAATAATAGCAAGTGGCAGCAGAGGAACTTCCTGGAGCCATGGCCAGTGTGTGTGTGTGTTGGGGGTGGAGGGTGGGGGCGGGGGACCCCATTCCACTCATACTGACTTCCAACAGGCTTCAGAACTCTAATGTGTGTGTGTGTGTGTGTGTGTGTGTGTGTGTGTGTGTGTGTTTGCACATGCCCTCGGGGGCTTAAACTCAAGGCCTGGGTGCTGTCCCTCAACTTAGCACTCTACCACTTTAGCCACAACCCCACTTCCAGCTTTTTCTGCGTAGTTGATTGGAGATAAGACTCTCAC